CTGCGAAGGTTGAGAGTCCTTCGCGGGCAAACTTCAAGTGGCAAATGGCTCCCTGGAGCCGTTGCCAGCACTGGCGTCACGTGTCAAGGCATCCCTCAGGGTCACGCCGAACGCGGGAGTGAGCCACAGCGTGACGCTGCCCCGGGGAGCCCCGTCCCACTCCCTTCCCAAGGCCTGTCGAGCAGACTCCGTGCCGAGGACTGAGCTCTAACGCTCCCTCTCTTCCCTCCAGCCCGACGCGATGGATGCCCTGCACGCCGCCGGGATCCGCTTCGCAGAGGTGCTGCAGTCCGGGCCGCCCTGGCTGGAAAAGTTCTGGATCTCGGTGACCTCCCTGGCCGATCCCAAATGCATCTTCACTGTCTTTTTCCCGCTCACCTATTTTCTCGACCGCAAGGTGGGGGTGTCGGTGCTGTGGATCGGCCTGGTGTCAGAGTGGCTCAACGTGGTCCTCAAATGGTGAGGGGGAGCCAGGAGTCACAGGGTCCCTTGTCACACCTGGTGACACCCCCAGGGCTCAGCGGTGGCACATTCACAATAGCAGAAACACAAGCGCAGGCTCCGCTTGGCGAGTAGAGACGAGTTCTGCTCCTTGCCCACGCCACGCTGAAAGCGCGTGGAGTTTCTGCAGGTCACCCGAGCCACAGTAATGCATCTGCCAGACACAAAAAACCGCGGGGGAGCCATAAGAACTGTCAGGGATGCTGCCCTCCTGCTGCCGGCTTCAGCCCTCGGATCCACAGGGATGGGTGGCAAAGGCTGTTGTGTTTGGCTGTTCACTCTCTGGTTTCTCTCCCCACCAGGTTCTTATTCGGGGAGCGCCCATTCTGGTGGGTCCATGAGTCGGGGCTCATCAGCAAGGAGCTGGTCACAGTGCGCCAGTTCCCCGTCTCCTGTGAAACGGGACCGGGTGAGTAACAGGCAAAAGCTTTTCCTCGCGTCTCCTGCAGGCCCCGGGATCGCAGGGAAGGGCTGCAGGAGCCTCGGGGGCCCCGTCTGGACGGGGACGCCGCAGCTGGAGGGTGGCCCCCGGGCAAAAAACGTCCGGCGGGGGGGAGCGTGCGGCGGGGGGCGGCCACGGGGCCGGCAGGACGCACCGAGTGGGAAAGCCATTCCTTAGCCAGCGCCTCGTGGCAGAGCAAACGAGTGAGCGGTGGGGAGTGGGCTGGGTGCCACGGCTGCTGGCACGGCATGCACGGCACAGGCGGCTCTGTGGACAGGAAACCCACGGGAGAGTCTGCTGGCAGCAGGGACCAGGGCACCTCGCTCGCCCTTTCTGCCTGGCCTCCCCCGCCCACAGAGCCTGTGTCCCTGCCTGTTTTTTTTGGGCAGGTGACCATCACCCACAGACACTGGCTAGTTCCATCCTCATCCTTGAGCCAAGCCCCCCATGCCGGCCATGGCTGTCAGGCAGGAGGGAACCCGGGGCACAGGCAGGGCTGCCCAGCCACCAGGGCTAGACTCAGCGGACGCATCCCCAGCTCTCCTGGGTGACCTCGGGTGCTCGCCCCGCCGGGACACGCTCCCCCCTGACCCACCGCGTCGAGCGTCCTGTGCTTCCCCTTCATAGGGAGCCCCTCCGGCCACTGCATGATCACGGGGGCAGCCCTCTGGCCTCTCGTCACCACTCTGATGGCGCTGGCGTCCCAACACTCCAGGAGGTGAGTCCTGGGCCCGGGAAGCAGGCGTTTGGAAGCCCCCAAAGCACCTTTTGGAAAAGGGAGGTGTAATACGGGACCCTTCCCCAGTGGGCAGCAGGCACAGCGAGGTGGAAGGACGCCTTCCCCTCCCAGCGGGGCAGCTCCTGGGGAACACAGCTCTACCCTGGCAGCTCTGGCAGCTGCAGGAACAGGCTGCGAAGCCCTGGAGACCCCCGCAAACCCCCCCTGCCCCACCGAGCTGCTTTTTTTTTGCTGCCTTCACCTGTGCTTTACTCATTCCTCCTGCCGAGCAGGGCCAGACCTGCCCTGCCTGGCACAACACGCTCCAGAGCACCGAGCCAGACCCGATGGC